AACAAGGACGCTACCTGGGCATCACTACTAGTAACAAGAAGCTACTAGTAACAAGGACGCTACCTGGGCATCACTACTAGTAACAAGAAGCTACTAGTTCAGTAACACTTAAAGTTGCCGAAGTTGTGGATCCTCAGGACCGCCTCTCGTACTTGTTCACTTTCAACTTGACACTTGGCCGAGCCGACAGAGTTCAAAGACCCGATTCATGCTGGCAGAAGAGTTTGGGTGATTGAGTCAAGCCTGAGGAACTCAAAGATAAAGCTTCCACTGGTGCCCATGCCGTGATGTTTTCCGAACACATAGGAGCCACCGGCAGCACTCAACACCCTTCGACCGCCTTGTTGCTCCGTGCCTTGGCAACAGGAGCCATCGTGGCCCAGGAGCCCTTCACCATTGGGCGTCGTGGTGCATCATCCCTGGTGATTCCCATGGCAGGGAACTTAAGCGCCTCGGTGAGCCGACATCACTGTTGCGTACATTTGGAAGGAGCGGCTTCTGTGGGAGTTTCATAGCTGAGATTGGTGGATTGGATTTGAAGGTTTAAAGCTGAAAGCGGGGAAGCGTTCAAGGTTCGCCTTTGAAAGTCACAGTACAGCTTTTGGATGGTTCAAGTATTTGTAGCATGCTCGCAGCTGCTCACCTATGCTTCAGCCAACAAGACCACCTCCTGGGTCAGTACTTCAATCATTCTTCAATCAGAAGCCAGTCTTTCTCAAGATTGAGACACACTCAGAAGAACCACCGCGCTTTAGGTTGTGCTGGGGTAGAGTCGGGCAGAAGGGACGTGCGCTACAGCGGAAAAGCAATTTGGATTAGCCCGTGGCCACCCATGGCCCATGGCGCCGTGTTTCCTGTGCAGGAGATCATTTGGTGGTCTTCGATGCTGGCTCCATGTGCGGCACCAAGCTGAATGGCCAGGCGAGGCATGGCCTCCAACTAGCAGCTTGTGGACTTGAGTTAACAAAGGGAAGATACAGTGGCTTGACGTTCTGCAGATGGAGCCTCACCGTTCTGAAGATGGAGCCTCGCAGTTCAGATCACCTTTGGCCAATCTCAGTCATCAAAAGACATCTCTTCATTACTCTTAAGATGCCCCAAGCAATCTTGAAGATGTTCTTAGTTCCGTGAACTTGCAGGTAATAACAAAGTTTGTGAATGTAACAACCTCACTAGCTTCAATGTAGGGAGGGAATCTGTCCCATAACATGTTCATGTTCGTGGGACAGACCCTCTTTTTCATGGCCAAGTGCACAGGTGGGACAGACCCTCTTTTTCATGGCCAAGTGCACAGGTGGGTCTTGCTTGGCAGCGAGTCAGTGAGCGTGCATCGGCTGGTGGTGTTGTTGGAGGCGACTCCGGACATTGCGGGCTGGCGCGCGGCAGCGGGGCTACTCACCGTTGTGTTCTTCGCGGGTGTGACCCTTGGTTGGCACTTGCAGACACTCGGCCGTGGCTTGGGGGAATTCTGGACCAGCCTCAGCCTGCGAAGCGCCGAGGGCTCCAAGTCAATCAACCTTAGCCGAAGGCACCTGGCCACACCGGGGCCAAAAGCTCGGGCTCGTCAGAGTCTGCAACCTCTGGCCGAAGTTCCGGCGATCAACTCAGATCATCATGGATCCCACGGAATCAGAACTCAACACCCTGAACGATCTAGGGATCCCACGGCGGCGGAGCTGTCCAGGATCGAGGTCTTCAGGCGGGTGGTCCTGCTCCGGCTGGGATCGCGCCGCTCCATCAAGGGGCTTGCCATCATCACCTACGAGAAAGCTCAAACTCTTGCCCGTCATCGACCCGACGCTCAACGCGGAGGTGATCCAGATCCCGCGCAGCCCGGGCGCCAGGCGTGCGCAGCCGTCGCAAAAAACACGACCGCGGTCGCGCGTTCTTCCGCCAAGTGGAGAGTGCGCTAGAGCGCGGGGACCCCGAGTGTGTGGCGTGATGTGGGCTCGGTGCCGCCGAGCGGCGCCGTTCCGAGGTATCTGGGACATAGAGTGTCTCTGCGCTGCTGACGGGGCTGTGCCGGAGCTTGAGCTGGAGGCAACGGTCGAGGCGGTGGCGTGGAGCCAAAGGAGCGCACGGGCGCGAGAAGGGCCGCCCCCAGAGACTCCGGAGACGGGAACGAAGAAGGTGGGGCAACCAAAAGACCGGGTCCGGCCAGGAAGGCAGCAAAAGAAGCCAAGGCTGCGAGGCCGGGGGCTGGGTAAGCGCCCAAGTAATAATCCCGAGCCCCGACCCAAAAAAACGGTCCCCTATGAAAAATAAGTCGAGTCATGTCGGAAACCACCAAATACGGTTTATTGTCGTTTTAAAAATACCGCCCTTGCAAGCCGGTATACTGCATTACCCACATGGCCGATTTTGATGGAGTTATTGAAAGGGTTCCAAAAACAACCGTAACTGCTCACCTCTCTCCGCCCTGTCTATCCAGCATGACACGCCGCGCTTACGCCAGTAAGTGTTCCTATCCCCAATGGCACGGAGTCACGCAAACGCGCTTGCCATCGAGGTCATGCAAAACCGCGTGACGCAGCGACATCACCTTGCGAAGAGCTGGAGCTGTTAGTCTACTGCAGAAACTCTATTGTACTAAACGTTCGTGTCGGGGAAAGGGGGGAACCCTTCGATCTGGAAGTGTTTCGACTTCTTTTGGCTCCGCGTTTAAAACAAGATTTGACCAACAAAAAAACTCATTAGTGACGTGTTGGTTTCGAAGCCCGTCCCAGGTGACGCTACTGGAAACCCCCCAAGGTCAGGGATCCCCGAGGAAAAGCTTGACAGAGAAGACTGTCGACTGACGGTATTGGACTCGCGGACCCGCATGTGGACCCCAGGCACGCCCTGTCGTCGCCCGGAGCGCAGAAGGAGGCGTACAACAACAAGCGGCGAGCCCGCCGCGCGGCCGCGCGTGAAAGCTCGGCCGTTGCAGGGGTGAATGTGTGTGAACGTGGAGGGACAGTGCGAGAGACTCGGCAGCAGCGGTAGTGGTCGATGCAAACGCTGTCCATCCACCCGTGTTTTTTCCCCAACAGCAGCATGCTTTGGGTCTTCAGCCATAGTAAAGGTTTCGGAGCAAGCCGGAGCAGCTCCCAAGACATTCCCCCAGGTTCCCACAAGGTTCCCACAAAGTTCCAAGGTTCCCGCCAGGTTCCCACAAGGTTCCCAAGGTTCCTGCAAGGTTCCTGCAAGGTTCCCAAGGTTCCCACAACTTTGTTCCACAAGGTTCCCCCAAGGTTCCCACAGCTTTGCTCCAACGTTCCCACAAGGTTCCCACAGTTTTGTTCCACAAGGTTCCCGCAACTTTGTTCCGCAAGGTTCCCACAACTTTGCCCCACAAGGTTCCCGCCAGGTTCCCAC